TTCATATTAAGTTATTTTCTGTATTATTGGTAACCTTCTATTTCAAATGAAAGTGGAGAACTATTTTCGACGAGCCTGAATGGGCTAGGAGTCAATAGCCCATGAGGCCAATTGTTTTAGTCAAATCCAACTAGTCAGTCAAGTGTATAGATGCAAACAAGTTAGCTTTATTAAAGTTAAATTTACTATTTTGGTTTTCAAAGCTGGCACTTTTCGTTACTAAGTAGAATATAACTCATAGCCTAGTAGTAGTCCAATCAATCAGAATGCAGCATTGATGAAAGAACTCTAGTTGGATTTGACTAGTATTTTGTAATAGTCTCTACAGCTGCTTTTGGCAGGGATTATGACTGATTATAATTCAACAATTCTTTTTCCTCTCTCTTTTCCCCTTTTCTCAATGGAATTTGACTATCGAAGTGACTTCATTGAAACCGTGAACAAACATGTAAGTGCTATTTACACAAAGGCAGGGTAAGCCTACTCCTGTGGAGGACTTTGTCTTCTGTTTTTATTGTCTACTGGAGAAAAAGGAAAACTCAAGACTTGTTACACCAGGGTCACCTTATTTGACGTCTTCTAAAGAAGGCTTAAGATATTTGTTAAATGAAATAACTCACACTGTGCTCTTCCAAACTCTAGATTGTATTTTGATTGCTTGAAAATATTTCTGCAGTAAATGAATGCTCATCATGAGTCTTTCCTTTAGCTCATTGGTTGCAGCCATTCTCAATCACACGCGCCCTCTAGCAATTAATGTTTCTGTCCTGATGAAGAAGATTTTGGTGGACGGCAATCAAAGGGTGTTTTCATAAAAATGTCAGAAAGCACAAAGCTATGAGGGCATGTGCCTATAGAATGTCATGGAAATGCCTTGATTGACGTCTAGCAAAAGCTTTTTCATCGCAACTTACATAATCGCTAGAGGGTTTTTGATATTGAGATGGCTGTAAAGATCCGACTAGCATCCGGAAGGTCATAGGTTCAAGTTTCTCTTTCAGCTAATGACAATTGTAAAATTATTTTATAATATTTTGTTTGCGCTTGGGATTGCAAGGAATTAAACATTTTATAACATTTGGGTGTTACAAGATTGCACTAGATACAGTATCTTTGTTTACAAATCTATGGGTTTGCCTTTTTTTATAGGAACTAATTTAAAATTATTGAAATTATTGCCAATCCCCAAGTGCTTTATGTTTGCACACAGCACAGCAAGCAAGTTTTTTATTTCTTTTATAAAATACAAATTACAATAATAGATAGGAATGACGCAACAGAAAGTGCGCGCGCGTGCAATGTGCTCTCATAAAGCACGTGCTCCAAACCAATCAGAACGCGACATTCATAACAGTTATTTTATAAAGGCTTTTTAAGATTTTTGAAATCAAATCATTTTACATCCATAAATCTTAAAAAGCCAGTATGTTAGAATTTTTCCAAATATAAAGAAAGTATGTAGCAAACTTTAAAAAGGTTACCTTTCAAGATCTGGCTCAGGGAACGGTCAAGGGAACCATAGACGCTTTGCACCATCACGTGATGGCAGCCATGACAGGAGGCAGGAACAATATTATTGAATCTGGTCTAATCTGATTTACATGAGAAAAAAATTTTTCTCAGGGAAAAACAACTCTATTGTTGTGTGACCTGCCATGGCTACCATCATGCGATGGTGCAAAGCCTCTATTTTGAGTCCCAATTCAGGACCTAACTTCTGTAATTCAGGCTCTGCCCAAAAATGGAAAAAAAAAAAGGTTTTAAACATTACCCACCATTCTCTATCTCTTATGCCCAATAAAAAATGAAAGTTCCCATATATGCCACTGGTATTATACAATATAGTTATTATTATTTCCTCTGTTTTTATAAGTTCAACTCAAAAGTAACTCAAATTATAGCCAGGCCTTTCAAGTTCGAGCTTCCAGACCAACACCAAATTCATCTGCTTTTGTCAAGTTAGTCAAAAGTTAGAAAACTCTTTTACATGTCACAGCAAGAATGAATTTCTAGAAAATGTCCATACCAACTGAGTCTCCCAGGAACCACAAAGGCAGGGGTTTGAATATCCCCCTATTTTACAGCTCTCTCAAGAAGGGAGAATCAACCTCTTTAACTACTGTTATAACAAGCTCCTCATCGAGAGGGTTGGATATTTTCTAAACAAATAAATTTAATTAAGTAAGAATAAGCTCTGACCTCCATACCCCTGGAACTATAAATTGTGCATTTCTGACTACCCTGAGAGCTGGGTGATTTGACTTGAATTGATTCAAAAGGGTCAAGGTAATGAACTATTAACTGCCTTGACTTATGTGACATTTTCTATTAGTCTAAACCTACTAATGGTCTGTCACAAATCATGTGCTGTGATTGGCTGGGTACTGGTCTCATAGTAATAGATCACTAGTAGCAAAAAGCGCCAGTTTTGAAAACCAAAACAATGGTGGGTTACTTGCATTTTCAACCTAATTTCAAAATTATATGTACCCATTCATTTGACCTATTAGTAGGTTTAGACTAAAACAATTAGACCATAGTTAATGGAGTGGAATGGTTAGGAAACCTATTGTTCTATGTTTTTGTTGATCTCCATTGTTATATGACATTGACATGTGCACAGTGAAGGAAATTAGTTACTCCATTTGTTCACAGTATTAGGGAACATAAAAGTTTTTTACCCTTAAAAATCGTTCTAAAATATGTATTATTTGTTAATTAATCCTATATGATAAATATTAATTTTTTATTGAAAATGAAATTGCCCTTTTTAATGCTTTCTTATTTAACATCTAGTAACTTAACTGCATCTGTACGAAAATATTTATTCGCATGGTAAATTTTGGTCATGCTATGAAAGTTTTTACTTTCAAAGTGTTCATGCATGAAAATAGTAAGGAAATGAGCATTTTCAGCCATACTTGCTTTGGTTCATTGTGCACCGTCATGCAGTAACCGTCATGCAGTTACGATTCAACATCAAAGGCAAAACAATAGCTTTGTTCTATGGAGTTTCCAAACCATTCCACTCCATTAACTATGATTGGACCTTTCACCCTCATGGTCTATTGTCAAGTTAAATTATAGCCCACACTTTTCATGAACTAACTACAGTAACTTTAGGATCTTACTTCAGTTTGTCGTGTTGTATGTTGTAAAAAAAAAAAGTAATTGTTTGAACAAAAGAAAACAATTTCGATAAAAAATAAATGAATGCCTAATATACTAAATGCATGAAAACTACATCCATTGATTTTGTTCTTGCTTCCCACTTGTATCAAAATGTAACATTGCTAATGTCAGCAGTTGTTTGAAGGGYGAATAGTGCCATCCAACAGATAAACTTTGTAACTTTACTATTATCATTGACAAATTTATTAGAGCACACAGCATGCACGTGCCCTTGCATTTTATAAAAGAAATAAAAAACTTGCTCACTGTGCTGTGTGGAGTCATAAAGCACCTGGGGATTGGCAGAACACTTGAGAAGTGTCGAGAAGTACTACGCTATGTGTTGTGCTCCTCCCAACACTTCTCTCGTGTTCTACCTATCCCTGCGTGCTTTATAACAGCACACAGAACGAGCGCATGTTTTCTATTCCTTCAATGTAGCAGGAAAAGAGCTATGGATTGTAGGGAAGGTAAGGGCTAACATTCTGCACACCAAACCTAAACAAATAAAGAATAACATTGATTCACATCAATCTCAAAAGCCCATGTCATTTTAATTAACAGATAACACTCCAGATAACACACAACAATTAAAGAGGTTTCAGATTTGTGCAATTAATCTATAACAAATTAATTATGAACTTTATACAATTTAAAAAAGTACTTTATAATGATTAGATAGTATAGTGTATACTAAAACTTATTGAGCCATTTTTCTACCACTATGATGTTTTGGCCACGATAATTACCAGGGTTTAACTTTTAAAGGGTATTAGAGAAATTGTTTTCAGTTAATAAATCTATATAATGTGCTCTTTACAGACTATAACTAGCACTGCCACATTAATGAATATTTTAACAAACAAAACTAATAAAGGACTACTTTGACGATATGGTGGCCATCTTGCCAGGGGGGCAAAACAAAACAAAGATGAACGAAAATATATAGTTTTGCTTTTGTCTTCATTTATAGGTAAAGGTGATTGTGCCATATTATTTCAACTTTTGCGGTATTCTCCTGTGGTGATCTGTTAATATCATTGTCATTACTGTTACAAAGCTTAATTTGCACCCTGGATGCCCCATGATGCCTTGCATTCCAAGATGGCCACCATATCGTCAAAGTAGTTCACTGACAGTTGCATGTATACTGCTTGAAAGGCTTAAGTAGTTTTTAAACACTGCTCTTTAATCAATAATAAACAAGGTTTGTATACTGACTATTCATTTAATAACCAAACCCCAAATGATAAATAATCAGCACTTTATTGTCGCAAATACAATGGTTCAATACTATATTAAAGTAAGACCACTGTGGGATGGGGAGTTTAAACAGCAAAGCAATCACAAGATAGCACATCTGTTGACCTTATTTTGTCAGATCTATTTTAATTCCTCATATTCATCTTAGAAAAATTCAAACTACTATTTTTATACAGATCTTTTAAGTGAATGGCAGTATCTTTCAAGTGACATGCATGCAAATGAATGGGATTGAGCTATATTTATACTTGCATGCACTGCCAGTTAACGACATTGCATGTTGAGAAGATACGATCTTAATTTGGGTAGGATCTCCTAAGTGCTCTCATTTTGTGACTTTCTACATTTTTTAAAGCTTTAAATTGTTAACATTAACAAAATGAGAACTCTAAGGAGAGTTGTTCTGGTTGCTTTCTTCGCCAGTTATTCACTTACATTAAGTAGTATGTCTTGGTAACCACAAATAAAGAATCTGGCAATCAATAGTCTTTTATGATCTAATTTTGGAAGTACTAACAACAGCCCCCACTACTGGGTTTGACTGGTGAGCTGGAGTTGATTTTAACATTACTACCAGGTCCTTGAGCAGAAGGAGATGGACCCATGCGGTTTTTAATTTCTGCAGCCATTGTCATGAAAGCTTGTTCCACATTTGTTGCATTCTTTGCACTTGTTTCAAGGAAGGGTACACCAAGAGATTCAGCATATTCCTGTAGACAAGTAGTGTAATTATAATCATTAGCACCTAACCTCTACACTTTCTTATACTTTTACCTAAAAGTGTATGCACATATAGTATATATTGATTTCTTTCCTTTCAGGATTAGTATAACACGAGGTATTCCTAGAGGAATTGTTCTGGGGGATAYGATAACAGGTCATCTTTTCTTAAGCAAAAAAACATCCATTGTTTTGTCCCCCAGAACAATTTTTTTTCTCAGGACTTGGTGCAAAGGGTCTATATATATATATCTTTCATTTTATATCAAAAKCTAAGCAACAAGATTCCAAACAATTCTTTCAGCATCTTTGTTAGGATGGCTTATATTTTGATACAAAAACATTTTAAAAAAGGGTCTTAGGCACTTTAAATATCAAATTTGTGTAATTGACAAGTTCAGGCTAGAACTTGTACAAATAAATGGGAAAGGGTCTAAATATTCAATGTTCAAGGTTCAAGGTTTGCTTTCAGAACAAAAATTTAGTTAATTCATGCGGGATTCCTGAGAATTTGGCAGGGAAATGGTACATATAATTGAGACCACACTATGCCCCTGGTGCATGTGCAACAAACACCATACAAAGAAAGATTACTAAAGAATTAACAAATGGTTCAGTGCTTGTTGAGTACAATAAATCTTGATTTTATTTTTGTCATTGCTATTTATAGTAAATTAGCCCAAACAAGCAAGCACAACATACCTTGGCTGTTGTAAAGTCAACAACTTTCTTTGTTGTAAGATCACACTTGTTCCCAACAAGAAGTTTATTCACATTTTCACAGGCATAACGGTCAATTTCTTGTAACCACTGCTTGACATTATTAAATGATTCCTAAAAAAGTATACATTAACAAAGTTATATTTAATTTCATTGGATTAGGATATGACACCATAAAATCTATGCCATCATATTATCCAGAAATAACTTCAGTTATGTAGCTTCTGGTTAATAATTAAGTCAAAGTACCAGCAATAAGGTGACTAAAACCATACGTTAACCATTTATTTTCTTGAAGTGAATATGTACAATATCAAAACATTGCTCGAAAATTTAGGATCTTAGTTTCTAGTTTTACCCTTACGCAAAAAGCGAGAAATTGAGACATAATAGAATCAAATAACAATTGCTAAATAACCAATTACACATTATGTAATATAGTACACTCACATACAGAAAAATGTATTCTTTAACATACTTTTGTACAAGCTGAATTTTAATCTATGCTTTTCTGAACAAATTATCAACCAAGTTGAAACAAAACACAAAACGAAAGAGTAGTTAATGATGACAAATGCAATGGGAGGTATAGAAAGGAAGATGGGCTTTGATCAAGTGCTTGAAAATAAACACGATTACAAAACATACAAAGTGAAGACCCAATTTGGTATTAACAAAGAGTATTTACTCTTTCTTGCTCTTCTTTACGACGTAGAAGAAGAAGAAAAAGTAAATCACAGTCTCTCTAGGAAAATCGTTTATATCGTTAAATTACGTATGACGTTGCAGAAAAAAGGTAATAATATTCGTACTGAACAAACCTGATCTGTGACATCGTAGACTACGATGATACCGTGGGCACCACGATAATAACTAGATGTTATAGTCCTAAATCTTTCTTGGCCGGCTGTGTCCCACTTTAAACAAAAACCAACAAAGAAAATGATAACCAAAAAGGCAAAACGTCTGATCAATAACTAATTGATAAATATCTTTGGACAAAGCATTGCAAATATACGACGTCATATTTATAAGAATAAATTATGCAATTTCTTCAACATGGAAATATAGCTTTAATATAACAGTACAAGGGTCTTACGATTTGTAGTTTTATTGTCTTGCCATCCAACTCTATGGTTCGGATTTTCTGTTGGTGCAAAATGAGACCATTTTGACGTTAGGAAGTGTTGGGTTCAAAGTACTCTTGCCTACTGCCAGCAAGTAAAATTATCACAGTAAAAATTTATCGAAATTTGGGATTACTTTGAATACTTACAAAATCAACGCCGATTGTGCTGATATAGCTCTCTGTGTAGGTATCATCCTAAGGTAGAAAATCGTTCAAAAGTAGATAAGGAATATGATATGAATTATGGTTTCCATCGAGCTATTAGGCAATACTTGCACTGTACTTCTCTTTCTGGGGTGGTGGGACGACAACACAACTAAGAACTCTTGCTTACCGCAAAACGAAGCAACAAGCACGACTTTCCAACGCCAGAATCGCCAATAAGTAGAAGCTTGAACAGGTAATCACTGTCGGGAAAAGAAAGACAATTTATCTTCCATCAAACGCAATACGTAGGTTGGAGCTATCGTTCAATGGCTCAGAGTTCTCCATCAAACATGGCCACAGGAAAGCATCAATTTATGCCATTTTTTCAACTTACTATTCGGGATTCATAGTTGACATGTTAAGCTATAACCCACGCCTTTATGTATGAAACAGAATTTACTTTCTTCCCAACTTAAATCTGGTAGAAAAGATGTTAAAATGCCGGTGTTTCGGCCAATTTGTCGAGAAAGAGGAAGCGAGTTGCTCAGTCAGCTTGGCGTGGTGCTAACAATGCTCCTTAGAGGGGGGATGGGCTAATTCACCAAAACCATGACGTCATCTCTGCAGACGACGTGGCAGAAACTCCGAAAGCTCAGCGTTTCTTTCCGAGTGATTCCGAATATAACCGGAAACAAGGAAATTTCCCGAACAAGGATCGTATTTATTGCCAATTTTTCACAGAGAAGAATATATTATTTTTCATCTTTCCTTACGTTATTATTTAGCTTTTAGATGATAATAAAACTTGCTATAACTTCTTTAAGATCAGGTTTTAATGAGCTATAACTAGAAATAAACAATCGTGTCCCAGCAATTCTTAACGGCACTGCATTTTTTTTGGGCTTACATTTGGTTTTCATGCTTCAACTTCTTGGAGACAAATGTTACAAATAAGTCACAGTTAAATAATTCCATAACGAGCCTACATTACCGCAAGATATATGAGGTACAATCTGATATTTAACTCCGTCTTGAGGCACGACAACGTTCCCAGCGGCTCCCAGGTGCCGAACGCCACGGTTTTCATGATCTTCAATAATTAAGGACGTTCATGGGCAAAATATCCCATCGTCAGATTTAAAAAAAAAAAAGCACAATGAAAGAACATCATGCTAGTAGTAAAATAAGCAAATAAAATAACGTTTTTATGGTGTTTTAATTTTGCTTATCAAAACATTGGAATGACGACATTACGATGAGCGCACTCTCTAAATTCATGCATGCGGAAAGAATGCGCGCGTACAATGTTAACAAATCAATGACACAGTTCTAGCTTAATATAGCAGACCACGCATTAATATAAATCACAACAATAACTGAAGATTCAGCAGTTTGTGCAAAGTAGACTTCAATCTTGACAAGTCACACATAGTGACGAAAAAAATAGAGCGTGAACAATAGCTAATAAAGTTAACTATCATGCGTGAACTTAAGTGGAATAAAAGTAACAGTTTTCAATCAATCGCACACGAATTCACGTAGTCACCTTATTTTTTTAGAACAGGGATATCATGTATACTATATCATATGCAAGAAAGGGTCATCATATTTATTGCCTTGGGGCAGCGCGGGGCGAACCCAATAATTTGTTAGAGGTGTACCAAGTGAAAAAAATTCGTAATTTATCACATCATGTTTTTTTAATATGCAAAAAAGTGATTAAGGCATAGGGGGGTCTCCAGTGCACCTAATACTGAAACATAAAACTGCTCGATCTTTAACAGCTGAAGAAATAGAAAATGCGCGCGCGTATGTGCTGTTCGTAATTATAAAAGACAACCACGCGCGGGGATTGGCAATGAATATTAGGAGCAAGCATGAAACGTAGAGGATAGAGGAGGCAAAGCATTACTAGGGAGAAATCCTAGCGCCAGACAATAACCCGCCCACTTCACAGAACTTTTCTTATTATAGAATGAAATACATCCACGGAGCCAAGGGGGAAGGTCGAAGGTGTCGTGACCAATAGAACATAATCTACACAAAAAACACTGATAGTAGGAACCCGCTTGGGAAAAAAAATTAATGGCTGATCCGAGACCTTTTTTTATTAATATTTTTATTTCTTCTCAACAAACAGAAAACCAGGTTGAAATACATACAGAACTAATGGGTGTACCATTGGTACGACAACAGGGCCAAACCTCCCGGTGACAATGTTTCGCAATAGGATATTATTTTATATACAATTGTACAAAGTAGAAATTACTGGACGTTTCTAGTCGATTTGTGGATTGTTTTCAAACAAATATTCAGCCTGTAACGAAAAAAAATTAAGCATTGAGATTAGTATACGTACGAGAATGACATCACCGAAGTATGTCGGTGTGTGATTAATGCGCATGCGCAGGCCCTTATCGAAAAAACATTTTTTCCGACCTGTTGTTTTATGGCACATTCATATTTTGAACTAAAATATAAGGAAAATGGTAGACTTCCACAAAGTCCTTCGCCTCTGCATTAGTTCACGCTAGCTGAACAAAGCACAGGCAACCCAACCAGGACCACACCGCTACACGACCTCGAAGCTCACTTTTTTTTCGCTTGCTTCGTTCGTGACTCTGTGAGTCTCAGAGGAAAGATTGTAGGAAGTCTAGGAAAATGGAAATTTTATTAATTTTATTCCTTAAAAAGTAAAAAACGTACCGTAACAACTCTAAGAGAGACAAGTATTTGTGAACATGCGCTTACCACAAAATCAATTGGATCGTCAGGTCGGATTTTACAGCATTCTATCAACCCTTGGGAAAGTGTTGGCATAACGTGTTTCATCAGGTAGTTTCTCAGTGGAATGGACTGGTTTTCAAGCAATTCTTGCTCCTGTTTCTTGACCTCTGCAAGTCGAACACGCTAAGAGTAGGAGATTAAATTGAACATAATTAATAGAACTGACTGACGTACTCATACCAAAGAATTCTCGAAAAGAAGAAGCGACAAAGGGAAAAACAAAACTTCTGACTTTTTGAGGATAGAGAAATAAAATGAACCCTTATTTGCGCTAGAGCAGCGGACACACTGTGTACCATTGCATGCATGTAACATTGCGCGCAACATGCTTTAATCGAGGGATGACATACAGTGCAACAAAATTACGCAACATCGTCACAATTGACGACTCTTAAAATTCCAGGGTATGCAGGCTTAACCTCACTTCTGAGATCGGTAAACAAAAGCAGAAATTAGAATAACAAAACAAGCAACTCCTGGATTCAAGGCTAAGCCCGCATACGCTGGAGTTTTAAGAGTCGTCAATGCGGCGTCTTCCCTCGATAACTACGCCTGCTATACTACGAATTGTGGTCAGAATTATATATATTTTAGTTCAGCCTGATTGGCTAAAAATATTGCAAGTGATGTTGCAGCCATGTTCACACAATACTATTTGTTGCGCGCGATGTTCCAGAAGTAGAGCATGATTCAGCTTCTGAAATATAGCATGCACATTTTTGTTGCGCGTAACAAATGAGGTTTAGGAGCTGTTCTGGAGTGGAACAATCCTGTTGTGTGCAATGTTTCAGCGTGTGCCTGCGCCTTTATAAGTACTCCTAATACCATCAACTACAAAGATTTTACCCATTCCTCTTGTCTCAGTGAATTCTGGGCGGCCTCTTCTGCCTCCATTCGTTCTCGTTCCTCCCTTTCTATTCTTTCTTGTTCGAGCTGCAATCATACGAATAAAGTTGATTTTCGTTAAAATTTGATACGACGTTATGAAGCCGAGGTCTGCTGAAGATTGCAAGTAGTATGATATAAACTGCATGAACCGACTAAAATATTGAACCTGAATGCCCATACAACATGCAGGGAATGATTGCTCCTTTGATTAATCGTTGGATGCAAGATTTAGTATATCCACTGCACGATGTGATAACTGATATTGAATACTGACTGTTACTCAAGGAACGCGGACCACCCTAAAAATTGGGGGGGGGGGGGGGGGGGGGGAGGGGGGATGGTCTAAGATTGGGAAATATAAGAGACTAGTATGGGAAAAAGTGGGGGGTTAAGATTGGAAAATACAAATATAAGAGTTTATAGTTTGTTAAAAGGTAATAGGGGTTATAGCCTCCACAGCTCCCCCCCCCCCCCCCCCCCCCCGTCTCCGCGGTCTCTGTGACTGATGATATAATTGGATAAACGTTCATTGTCGGTAATAACTGGGTTCAAGAGAAAAGAAACTAGTTCATTTTCTTTTGCTGGGACCCTTTGCTGATTATAGATTTCTATTTATGCCATACCCTCTTCTCGATCTTGATCCTCTCCATCTCGGCAATTTCTTCAGGTGTTGGGCCTGGATTATGAATCAAAGAGTTTTTATTTGACTGAACTACAAAGAATCGTGGAACTGAGTGGAAGTGAAAGAAAAGGAATGTGAAAAAGCCGATGCAGATAAACACATATCAAGCAGTGCAAGTGTGAATCTAGGATAAGGAAGAGGATGGAGGTAAAAAACTGAATCCTGTTATCACAGAAAAAAGTATTTTGGCGATGGAAGAAAAGTAATCAGTTACGACAGTGAATAGGTTTCAAACTTATATGCATACCATAATTGCGAGGTTCCCCAATGAGTTTCTTAATGGCTTCAACAGTATCTGTCATCTTGGGGCTTGAATCAGCAGAGATGTCTGAATACGGAAAACATATTTGAATTAATTTGATAACATACTGTGACAACAACTGAGTTTTCGACCTTCAAGTAGAGCCGAGCACATCTAACCATCTGAACACCATGATTGGTCCGACAATGACATGAGCGCGTCCGCGCCGTGTTATGGTTATGATATTGGATGGAAAGAAAATTCCCGCGCAATGCGATTAGTCTGGCGTATGCCTTGCCGTGCCACAACCCTGTTCGTACTGCTAGATTTTCACACGACACACGAAAGATGCTCTTTACAGTTCGCACATCATCGATATGGTGCACGTTTTCACGTAGTGCATATAAAGATAGAGCGATATACCGAAGTATATTGCATCTTACAACAACATTTAGCATCCATGCACTTTTTTTTCCCAGTAACTCGCATAATTACGGGTAGAGAGAACGATGCTTATGATCACAAGCGCGCAGATTGCGCTTTGTTTGCAAAATCCTATTGAAGTCATCCGTAATTTATGTTGCCATGTTGGTCTGGACATACCTATGTGATCTGGATGGAACTCCAGTTCATCGAAGTAATTCAGCACGGTTTCATCTTCTGTGTTAATGGCCCGGTATTCATTCAGACGTCTCATTAATCCTGCAGGACAAGAAACAAATGAGCAATGTGAATACAATGAGCATGTGTAGCACTGAGCAAGAATATGTGTAATAAAACTAGAAAATGGAACGGGGATCAAAAAACAGTTAAAAATCGGAAATTCTTCGACTTTCGTTTTTTTTCTAGTAGCTTTATGCTAGTCGCTCGTAACAAATAGACAAAATTCTTTTGCTTCGTCTTGACTTTGTTATAATTCCGATGTGTGTACTTGCCGACAGAGATATAGAATAAATAAAAATAAGAATAGCCTTCATGTTTTCAGTGATCCTCAGTTCCAAAGTACTTTACACTATGTTTTCAACAACCTCGTGCTTTTGGGAAATATTCTTTTGAGCAAAACCATTAGATTAAAAATTATTTGTATTACCTCACCTTCTTCTGTATTGTGTGTGCCTGCAACAACACTTTCCGGTAGGTTCATTACTCTAGTCTTCAAGAAATCATCAGAAGCTTCGAGCGAAACGATTACCTCTGAAATGAATTGAATAAAAGACAAAAAAAAAAAAACACTATGAAATAAGTTTCGTCCTATACACCACGAGATCATTTCTAATCATATTTTAATCTTCTGAAAGGCGAATAAACTACTGCGGAAATAGAAAACGCGCGCGCGTGCTGTGTGCAGTCATAAAGCACGCGGGGATTGGCAGAACACAAGTGTTAGGAGAAGAAAGACGCGTAGAGATAAGATATGACAAAAATAAGGTGTTATCTATATAAGGAAAAAAATACCTGGCATTATTAATTTATCGTAGTTGACTGCTGAATCTTCTTCTTCGGCTTCACCTTCTTCAACTATAGTACAAGACAAACATGTCAGACATCAGTCAGATGACGGGCAGTAGAAATATGATGAAGAAAATAATTTAAAAAATCTAACCTGCAAAGAGTTCTTTCGCTTGTTCATAGGTTTTTGGGTAGCCATCCATGATAAACCCCTAAATGTTCAGATGAGAATTTCGGTCAGCATTGGGGACAAAACATACCAGATCTACCCTCTATGTCAGAACCCTCTCGCTTCAGTTATACGTTACGATATCATGAGAGAAACCTACGACCAAAGCACTTGAGCGAGAGAACCTCTGGAACCCAAGGTACAACAGATGGTGCATAAGTGCGAAAAATAGGCACCCGAATTAGCCATTTTGAGTTTTAAAAACTAGGTCGAGTTGGCATTGCGTAGCATTGTGTAACTTTTCAAGGGGACGAAATGTACGCCATCTTTTTTTTGTACGTCATCTTGGAAGTATGTCTCCCAAAACAGTAACACAATGCACTGCAATCTCAACTCGATCAAAACAGTCCCAGTTTTTTCTCAGCCTCAGAATGGTAATAGAGAATCCAAAAGCAAAGATCAAGATTTTGGAACCATGAAACAATCTCTGGGCTGATGAAGGATGGAATTCCCTCGAAGCTAACTAAGCCAACTCCCTTTCATTATTATGATTACTCTCATTATTCCGCTTTTTGACTCAGTGTAGAACGATGGCGTTCAGACACTTATTCTATATTCTACAGTACAATATGCAGTGATATACTTTCGTTTTGTTAATGAGATAGAACTTATGTGTGTATATATATATACTGACCTGGTTCTGACAGGGCATAGAATGGAGTTTATCCCTGAAAAAACGAATAATATACTGATCCTCGTAATGTCCTGCAAGAATAAATATGATACACGTCCATCAAGTCGGAACATCTAAAAGAATTTTCCGAATTTGAAAGAAAGACTGGTAACGATCTGGGAATAGGGCATAGGAACGTATTACTTAAGACATTCCTATTCGACGCATAAATAGCTATATTTTTAACAGTTAATTAAAAATTATATTTTAATAGCTAATTATTATTATTTTTGCAGTGTATATATATTTTTTATTTAGCATATACCAACTTGTATACTTCCTAAGAACGCGCGCGCTCATTGGTTAATTGGAGGTGAAAATTGTACGATATCCACCTCTGAATCTCGGAATATTGAGTCGGCAACAAAATGGCATCTGCCGGCAATCGTTTTGCTACAATTTCTGATGAGGAAATTGAAAAAATGAAAGTAAATGCCATTCCTATCAATACTAAAAAGGCAACGAAGTATGGCCTAAAAGTTTTGCTAAAATTTTTGCTTAAAGTTTTGCTAAAAGTTTTGCGTGAATTTGTCACGCAAACTAAAAGTTTCTGTTTGTTTGTTTTTATTGAATTATTGTATATTAAAATAAGTTACTCTGTACACAAGTTGGTATATGCTAAAACAATTATTCGCCTCAGGCTCAGTGAATATGGAGAATACTTACCTCGCCGCTCGAAGACTCGCGTCTCGCTAAATATTCCCCGATATTCACTTCGCCTTCGGCGAATAATTGCTAAATATTTATTCGTTTATTCACTATTTATTGATTTATTCTATATTGTAAGAGCATTGAGATATTATGTAATGCGCTAGAATAAAATTATCATCATTATTATTACTGGTTTTGGGGACGCGTGATTGCGAAGCTTGTGATCTTGTGCCCAAATTCAGCCCCACAATATTGCGCACTCAGGTAGTTGCCAGTTTTCAGATCAACTTCGGAAAGGCGTTTTCAAGACTAAGGGTGGAAGCCTCAGGAACCCAGGATAAAAATTTTCCAGAACTCTGCCTGCCTGTGTTATAAAGATTGCAGCAACGGCTGCAGTAGAATATTATAGTATTACTATAAAGTACCATTGTTTTGGTCTTTGCTCTCTATTAGGGCGTCAAGCAGTTCTTGGTCTTCCTGTGCTTTGATGTCGTCATCTTCATCACCATCTTGGTCAGCTCGAGCTGCACTTTGTTGCTAGGTAACACAAGTTCAAATTTAAAGGTGCTTAATAACGAAGTTTTGAACAAACCTACATAACCGAAACTGAGGGTGTGTTATATATCAAAAAACTGGCGTAAATACTTCAGAAGGGATAGTTTTTCTCGGTTATTCGACAACCCCAAACGACTTCATATTTATTCCCAGAATATTTAACGTTACTTTGCTCACTGCCATTTGGAAGAAGTCGACTGACTTACCAGTTTCTCGATAGCTTCATCGATGACATTCTGTATTTTGATATGGTGCAGTTTGTAATGGTCACAAAGCTGCTTGATAACAAGTGTTTTGCCAGATGCTGGGGGTCCCAGGATACACGCACGGATTGGCTGAAAAAGGGAGGTAAAATTATAGAACTATTTGCAAAGCAAACAAAACAATTTTGAAAATAAAGCATTGGTCTAAGGCTTCGAGAAAGTGTAATCATGATTTATTTTGATAGATCTAACTATCATTTAATAAAAATATCTTATAAACTGTTCGCGAGTAGAAAACTGAAATATAGCACCGACAAAATGCATCGCTTTATTTTCGGCCAAACATAAAAAAACCGCTATTTCAAGGAATATATGACTATATATTTATATATAAGAAATATATATATATTTCTTCCTCGCTCTCAAAGTATATGAACACGCACGGCGGTTTGTTAACTAATATGTTTAGTATTGTATCGTTTGTATCCTATCGATATCCACTTGTGGATGTGCTTACCAATAATCCTCTGGTTTCTTTGTATTCTTTGATAACCCTTTCAATGTTATCGACAAGACCAGCCTATTGCAATAAAACAAACAAAAAATACATGTCACATGCCGTACTATCCCTCCGCGCGCAACAGGTTTTGTTGATATTGCTGTATGAAGTACGTATAGGCTTTTTTGAAACAAAAAGAATCGCTAAGAGCAAAGCAACATCCTGCGACTTGTACCGCAACAATTCCAATGTGCAAGAACTTTCACGAACTTGCATGTTGACGGCATTTAATTTACCCAACTATAGTGCGCTGCAAGAAATACGGTAATTATATTTAAATATTCTCCTAGGGTAAAAGTTGATCATCATGTTCAACCCTACAACACTGACATGATTTACACGTGCATGCATCAACAGAGAGTTTTAGATTTACGTTCACGGCAAACGTGAAACGTCAGTTGACCAGTAAAAAATTCTCTTAAATTACTGAAAAAGAATCGCAAAAAAGTCCAATTAGTAGAAAAACAAAAGAGTATTTGCGCTTGGTGAGAAGGTTTGTAAAAGGTAAAGTAAAATAAAGGAAAACTATGAAAACGTGGTCACGTTTGCCGTTTGCGG